GAAAAAAAAATACAACATACCCACGGAGTGAATGAATTAGAGTGAGACGAAGTGTCTATCCGTCCATCGATCCGTGCGTCCGTACATCCATCCGTCACGCGTGCGTCCATCTGTCCATCCGTTCATGCGTCTGTCTGTCTGTCTGTCTGTCTGTCTGTCTGTCTGTCTGTCTGTCTGTCTGTCTGTCTGTCTGTCTGTCTGTCTGTCTGTCTGTCTGTCTGTCTGTCTGTCTGTCTGTCTGTCTGTCTGTCTGGCGACGAGCACGAGCCACCACGCTTCTCCACGCCCGCCGCTCCACTTCTTCCGTGCCCCATCAAGGATTTGACACGTATGGCAACGATCCAGGAGATTGAGAGAGGCACTCGTTCCCCGTGCACCAAAACACAGCCCACGCAGCAGCCAATCGGAGAGTAGCTGTACAGCGCCATCTAGAATATCCTCACTCAACTGCAGTTTGTATGTACTTCAATGAGCTAGCACCATCTGTTATACTGTTCGGGAGATACTGCTGGTTACACCTGACGGGGACAAGATAAGACTAAGAGGAGCTTCGCTAATAATCGTGATACAATGGCTTAAAAAAAAACCGGCCAATGATTGCTGGTCTTAGGTACATGCCTGTCTAAAGCCGGGTAGGTGGCAACATCACAGCTGGTACTCGACCGAAGTCTCCCTATTCTTGGTGCACATTAGAAGTTGTCTGCTCTAAAGGATGGTGTAAATATCTTGGAGGCTTCGTACGTCACACTACACACCAGAAACGTGGTTGATCTTTCTGTTGCACGCCTTCTATAATGTGTTCGAAACGGGTCAGGGAAACCTTATAATAATAATAATAATAATAATAATAATAATAATAATAATAATAATAATAATAATAATAATAATAATAATAATAATAATAATAATAATAATAATAATAATAATAATAATAATAATAATAATAATAATAATAATAATAACAAGACATGATAGGAGACGCTGTAATGGAGGCTTCCGGAAATTCTGGCTTTCTGCGACGCGCGATGAAATGTGGTGTTCTGACGTGCGCTGAAATCGTACAGTACACGGGTATCTGGTATTTCGCCTCCGTCTAAATGTGACCACGGTGGCCGGAACAGAACTTGCGACTTTCGGGTCAGTGCCGGCTATTTGTGGGAGCTTTTTTAACGTCTTATTGGATGCAGGAAACTAATCTCAAGCTTGTCCGGGTGACTTGTTAGCACAAACAGTCCCACGATATGTTAGATAGTTCGCGTTTGACTCAGCCAACTGATCGAAGCACTGCTAGTGCCAGGGAACCGAGCTGTCGTGAAAACAACTCGTGTGGCTTATGTTTCACGTCTCGAAATCGGTACACTGAATTCTGCATGCAGTATTGGAGGGCTGTGGCAGAATTTTGACACATCTGGCTGAATGCACTGTACGCGCGTTTTGCACGGCTTCGAATTGTGGTGCAGTACGGAGGAATGTGCGGTTTTGTACTCCACCGGAGCCGTGACCTTTCACTCAGTAATGCTATGGTCTTTTACATTCCGAGCTAGAGCGGTCGGACGGTTACTTTGTCCCACAAGAAAACACGTGTGTCAACTTCTGATGAAGTTTTGGCAACGTGGATGCAGGACGGTAACGTCCTATTTTAAGACTTGCTGGAACTGTGCTACGGGTTTGTTGAGAGGTTTCGGCCGATGTGGCGAAATATCTTTCTTATAGACAAGGAGTCGTGCGACACACACGTACTGTTATAACCATGTGTCTGGAGAAACTAAGTGTCAGAGCGCTCTAGAATGCAGTATAGCATTTACGTGTCGTTTGCTGCAGCGTCACGACACATGGTTTTCACACACACGAGACCCTTGTACATACTTGAAGCGTGACATACACGCGACGCCCACGTGACCATTTAGAGTGCTATAGCACTAAAAACGACACTGTTCACGTGCGTGTGGAGTCACATTATTTGAGCTAAACCTTTGAAACGAAGTGCCTGAATTCTTGCCCTTAGGAACCTGTTAGAAGCATGTCAGGTGCGTCTGCTGGTGCGAAAAGCTGGTCTGAGATGGGGGTCGGCACTCTCCAATCATCTTCACTTCACCAGTGTTCTCGCGACTTATCTCTTGACAGCTAGAACATTCTGAACTCTGAACTATTGTCGGCACTCGTTCTCTATCGCACTCGGAAGCATTCACTGGCGCTCACAGACGATTCAGCTCTCGGGTACCGGCTTCCATTTCAGCTATTATTCGCACCCATTCCCATTCACCGGCACTCGTTTAGAACACGACAAAGGATGTATAGAACATTCAGACTCACTCATAAAATATATTTTGTCTTTACGAGTCACTCGAACTCATATTCACCAATGTTTTCCTCAGCTGCTTTCACTAGGAACTCATACTCACCGAATCGTTTTTTTTTTTCAACTGGACTCACTTAGACAGACATCCATCAAGACATTACTCGCACAGAATCACTCAGACTCCGACTCATGGCTATTTCTGAGTCTGGGTAAGTTTGATTGAGTCGACTGGTGAGTCTGATAGTGTATAATTAGCTTTTTAGGACGTGATATGAATGCTGCTTAAAGCAAACACCCGGAATACTTGGTGCTGTACATGGCGCTTTTTTTTAATCTCTAGCCCTCATATACGACTTATCAGTGGATGCAATATAATAACGACATTTTCCTTGAAAGACACGACTCGCACAAGATATCTTTATCAAAAGCTTTTGAATAACATTGTGGGGGAGAAGGAGGAAGGGAAAAAGGTTGGAACCCACGATTCCAATGAATAAACATTGGAGTGGCGTACAAACACTAGTGCGCTGAAGTACGAGCGAGTAGACGAGGATGAAAACGTGAATCTACATAAATATGCTTGACAGTAACACTGAAGTTGGATAGATATGACCGTATGGTGGCATAAAATGGGGAGCTCAGTCAAACTGTCTGAGGAAATATATTTTGCGATTAGGGCTCACTCTGGCTCAGACTTTCTCATTTTTTTTTCTCAGTCGGATTCACGCGGACTCGGACTCACCAGAATACTACTCACCCGGACTGAATCAGACTCACGGGTCGATCTGAATCTGCACGAGCCGGAATAAGTTGACTCACGAGTGGGCTCGCTGACCTATGCACGTGACCCACTAACGTCCACACGTCCGCTCACACTCGGCGACGCTCACTCGCGTAAATATCTACGTCTAGTCAAACACACTATAAGTCACTCATACCAACGCCTCCTAGATTTCTCGTGCCTGCCGGATTATCGGCAGTCACTTGGTAAGCGGCGGTCGTCGGAACTACGGTGGTGGCGCCACTCAAGTAGGGGTGTCGTCAAATAGGTTTTTACGTTTTTGAAGCTTATATGCAACAAAAATAACCTAAAAAGTTTTAAAAAGGCGTAAACGTAATTGTAAATAACCCTACGTAAGTGACGCCGTCATTCAGCAAGCAACTTTTTTAATACAAGGCATCCTCTGAAATTAGTAGCAAACGCCAAAATTGCTAATCTCAAAGGCCAAGTACAAAAACCCTTACCCCTACGTAGGCAGCGCCGCCGAAGATCACCGGCGTTTCGCCCTCATCCGGCAGGCACGGAAAATCTAGGAGGCGTTGCTCATACGTACGTTCTCTCAGATCCTTCGTCACCCACTAACACTCCGTGCGCAGCCTTTGAAATGAGTTTGGAGAAAAAAAATGTAATAAAGCTTTAGTTCCCCGTGGTAGTTGCGCTACTCGACTGCCGACCGAAAGGATCAAATTCCTGTCGTGACGGCAGCATTTCGATGGAGCCAAAGTGCGAGAGCAGTCGTTCGCAGCCATGAATGTCTCGGGGACACTTTGTGCACCCATGATAAAGAATCCCTTGCTTTGAGACAACGAGGGGAAGAGGGCTTTCATAAGCTGACGCTACAGGCAGTGGTACGCAGCTGTCTTTTACTTTTCCCTGGCAAATAACTGGCAAAGAATCGCCAAATTGAAGAGCTGAACGAAGTCGATATCAGCAGCTTGGCGATATGTTGTGTGGTATGCAGCCACATTCACCCTGTTTCTTGCTATCTTTGCTCGTCAAGTATGCAAACCTAATAACTGTATGCTCGAGTGCCGTAGTCGAAGAAATTGCAAGATAAGCTTTGCAACCATCTCACGGCGAAGCCCCACCATGGTGGTCTAGTGGCTAAGGTACTTAGCTGCTTACCCGCAGGTCGCGGGATCGAATCCCGGTTGCGGCTGCTGCATTTCAGATGGAGGCGGAAATGCATTAGGCCTGTGTGCTCAGATTTTAGCGCACGTTAAAGAACCCCAGGTGGTCGAAATTTCCGGAGCCCTCCACTGCGGCGTCTTTCATAATCATATAGTGATTTTGGGACGTTAAACCGAACATATCAATCAATCAATCAATCAATCAATCAATCAATCAATCAATCAATCAATCAATCAATCAATCAATCAATCAATCAATCAATCAATCAATCAATCAATCAATCATCTCACAGAGAAGAGGATACACAAACCAGCTATGCCACAATACCTAAGTGCAACGTGAAAAAAAAGAGAAAGTTGCCAAGGGTGATAGGGTGCCTAAAAACATGCGCGCTTTTTTGGTATAGTTGTCTGGGGTCCTCAGAAGTAGCTTCGTGATGACTCGGGAATTCCGGGACTCCCGTTTGAGATTCACTCTCTTGGAGGCCACTGTGCGCAAGTTTAGGTGCACGTTAAAGAGCTCGAGGTGGCAAAAGTTTCCAGTACCGTCCACTACGGCATCTCTTGTAATGGTACCATGGTTTTCAGACGTAAAACACCAAAATTTATATAGAAGGAATAAATGATATGCCGGTTTATGGGTTGTGTGATGAGACCGCCAAGGTTTCGTGGTTTTGGTGAATACGAGATGACTGCTTGACGAGTTGAACGACCTTTTCTTTGTGGATCACGCAGGTGAATCTTTGGTAGTGGCCACCGGTGCGTCAGCTCCCAGCTCAGCGCGCCGGTGATGTCAGGGGCGCCGCCGGACAGGCCCGGGTCATCGGGCAGGTCCGATGACAAGTCCAAAGAGAGGGCACTCGAGAAGACGACCGAGAGGTCCACAGAGAGGTCAGCGGGCCTGCAACACCACCATCACCACCACAGGAGGCACAGCCAGAGCCAAGAGAGGTCGTCTCCCGGAAAGTCGTCGTCCAGGTCCTCGCCGTCGAGAACCAGACGAGGCCGCGATGGCCCTCCCCTCGGAGCGGTGGCATCCAGCGACCCGTACGATGGTCAGGCACTGCTTTCAACGTCTCCTTGCTTGACACCTCTCTAGAAAGCACGCAAAGCATTGAATATGGTGCTCGAATGTGATGCATCTAGTGATCGATTATGGCGCTCTCCCACCCGCTCACTCACTCACTCACTCACTCACTCACTCACTCACTCACTTATTCACTGATTTTATTCACTCACTCAGTTCAGTAATTAGAGGCATATTTTTATATAGAGATGTAGGTTCAAAACAAGCAAGAGAACGTAGCATCGACATGCATAAAATGCTAGAATACAACAAATTTAAATAATACCCTTATTAGGAGAAGCAGGCAACGGGTAGCGTCTCTCATCTTCAGTGGGCTGATAACCGCCACCATCAGGTTTTTGTGTCAGTGGCGTGAAGAAGTGTTCAAGTAGAGAGAAACGCTTTGACAATATAATTACAGCAGGCTTGAGATGGTGCTGGAACTGACATGACAAGAAGGCACCAAAAATTAACTCGAGGCTTTTAAGTGTTTCCAGTACGAGGGCAAATACCATTTCGAGAGTGGCAGGTTAAAAATAACAAAAAAAAAACGCGTAATGTTTTTCTTTGTATACTCTTGAGCGCGTCTACACCTGCACTTTGCATTGTATCAAATTGCCAAATTAATGCGAGAAATGCAACTTATGTCGCCAAACATAACAAGTACCCAAAGTCACACCATGAAATTTAAGCAACACTGAAACCTTGAAAGTTTCCCGCGTCAGAGAATCATGCCATCGCGTGGGTCGTGAAGATATGCAGATGACGGCACCTGACTTATTGAGGCCTCGGCAGAATGTTTCTTTTAATCTGAAAGCATTAAGGCGCACTCTTTGGAGAAAATGTATAGTCGCGAGCAATATGAGATGGAACAGCCAATTCGCATTTAGCCAACGATTACTTGCAAGGTATCGGCGTGGATGTCACGTATTCAGTGGCAAGAGGTGCCTCTCCGCTCGCATATTGAGTGTTACGAGCCCTTTGCTCTTACAAAATGCTTAAAAGGTAATTTTTGTTCCATCTAGCATCAATCACTACTGTGAAGCTACCATCTTTACTCTTACACTACCAGATTTTAATGTTTGCTAAATTTAACGTCCTGAAACCACAATGTGTTTATTAGGGGCGCTGTAGTGGAGGGCCCTAGAAATGGCGACCCCTTGAGGTTCATTAACGTGCATTCAAATATAAGCACACGGGCCTCTGTTGTTCTTGCCTCCTTCAAAAATGTGGCTGCCATGGTCGGGACACGATCCCACGACCTGTGGGTCGGAAATCGAGCACCCTAGCCGCTAGACCGCCGTGTCAGGTGAGTCTAGGCTGTTGGTCACTGTCGACTTAAGGGCGACCGAAGGTACTTGCTAGCAATTAGATGTAATGTTAATTCATTTCGCTCGCACGCCGCCAAGTCACCATTGAAGTTTTTTTATTAGCAGCGCGTCCACCTCGGTGGAACAGCGTACGGTGCATGCTCGGTCGCTGACAAGAAAGGCGCGGGTTCGACTCCAGTCGCGGCGGTCGCATTTCGATGGAGACGAGTCATATAGAGACTCGTGTACTGTTGGATGTTAGTGCACGTCAAACAGCACTAAATGATCGACATATCTGCGAGTTTCTCTCTACGGCGTCGCTTATAATCATATCGTGGGGCTTGGCACGCAAAACCTCACATACTATTATTTCCTAGTATTGCAGCTCCTTAGCACGCCCCTTTGACCTAATCGCACGTACTTCACGACATTTCCAATATTCGAATACGGCCGGTCTTTCGTATGCTGCGGCTGATCTCTTTTAATAAAGTATTTGTAGTGTCAAAACACAATGCCGGAAGTATGGTTGGTTGGTTGACTCACGGGGCTTAACGTTTAAAAGCTATCGACTCGGGCTGTTAGAGAGGCCGTAGTGGATGTCCCGTAAGATTTCTACTGCCCGCGGGATTCTTCAAAATGAACTGACGTCCTACAGTACCCGAGTCCCTATTATTTAGCCTCCATCATTTTAAGGTCAACAGACAAGGCCCGTAACCAGTGCGCCACCGTAGTGACTACCATGAAATGTGAATCTATCCTGCATGGAAGTGATTAAAAAGAGGTAAACACGGGCCCTTAGTTTTATGTGCCATGTCAGAAAAGGTTTTTCCACATATTAAGATTTACTTTAAAGTGGAGAACGTATTGCTGCATAGCAGGCAGTTAGTTTTGTAAATCAGTAAGTTCCTGATTGATCTCGTTCTGAACCATTTCAAAAAAAAAAAAAAAACGAGAAGAAGAAAAAAGTAAGGAATAAAATAACGGTGTTCCCAAAGCTGGTATACAACCACTTCTCCCCAGGAAGCTCTTCTACCATTAATTTTTTACTCAAGGTTATAGATGCAGAATTTATCTTGTGTCAGCGCTAACTAAAACCAGACGCGGTAACTTGTAGCGAAGGTAACTTGTAGCACTGCTAGGCTAGAGGACACGGGTTCTATTTCTGCTACAACGGCCGCGTTTCCAAAGTGGCGGAATGACGCTCGTGTATGCATAATCTAAGCATAGTTAAGTTTAGGTGCACCTTAAAGAACTCTGAATAGTGTCAAATGTAATCCGGAGTTTTTCACGTGCCTCAGAATCATGCCCCCATTTAGGCGCCCTGTTGAGCTAAAAAATTAATTTCGCTTACAATTGGAATAAATGATTGATGCATCTACCATGTCGAAGAGCAAACAATTTTCTTACCTGCATGCACCCTTCACAGTGGTCTATAATGGCTAATCATCATGCTCGACTGCTGAGCCGCAGGTCGCGGGATCAAATCCTGGCCCGCCGTCGGCTGCCGCAGTTTCGATTAAGGCAAAAATGCTGGATGCCCGTGTAGTTAGGTGCATGCTAAAGAACCTATGGTTATAGTATTTCACCACTAAGGCATCCCTCACAATCATATTGTAATTTTGGGACGTTGAACTCAATAAATAATTATTATATTCTTATGCGTGCTACAGACGTAATAAAATTATTGCGTGTCACTACTGTCCTTCACACCTCACGCACAACTTAGCGACTATAGTTGCTACAAGCAAGAACGTGCTATTTTACCGTGTTACTACAGCCTTAGTGGTCAGCCCTGCCATAGCAATGCACTGCTGTCGTCACTGACATAACTTCTCAACTTCCGCAGTCTAATCTCACTGTTTGGCAAAGGTGGTACATGCACCCTGAACTACGAAAAATGTCGTGTGCATAGCTCGAGATTCTTCGCCTCACAATGCGGGCGATCTACAGAAGCATTTTTTTCTTAAATGTTTGCAGTTGCCTACGAAGAGGACATGGACTCCGATGGTGAGTACCGTTTCTCAGGAATACCCCTATCGCATTGTCTGTTTTGAATGAGCAATGTTTGGAACGTAGTTGTGACAACAGAGAATACACAAGACGAACCGGTAAAAAAGGGCTTTTTATTGGGCTATCGTGCGTCTGAAAAAACAATAAAAATGTATCAATGCATACGTAATACTAACATCGTCCGCCTAGGGGTGTTTCATGTTTACATTCACACCCGCTCTTACGACACGGCCACGGTTCGTGCTCTTGCAGACGCGTGGTATTCAACAAGGCGGTTGTGTAGTCTACTCAGCGAGACATGTATATAGTGCGGTCAAATATTGCTCGTACTTTCCAGCCCTACCAGTCGCTGCTCTATACAACGTTCTGGGTGATCAGACTTTTCAAGGAACTAGTATTTAACCACTTCCAATGGTGGTTGCACAGTGGTAGGTGTGTGTACATTCTCTTGTCGAAGGAAATGACTGGCGAATAAAGCGAAAAGACAACTGGAGGACCGCGATTCGATCTACAGAAGAAGCACTCGTAGTCGTAGTCAAGTTCAGTTTGCAACACCAAGTCTAGACGCCAACTTTGAGGGATGGTTGTATTGGGACACTTGATGTTTTATGGTGAAAGAGGGTAAAGTGCCAAACAAACAAAAAAGACGACGTGAACTACAGGGTGGAAAAGGAGGGATACACGCTAATGCGTCGTTCCATTGCACTCGAGCGTGGCGCCAATAGGAGAATTCGGAAACCGTTATGGTGTTATAACCTGCGATTAGTAATGACATTGCATTGATGAGCGGACGAATTACAGCTCGTGATTACTGAACTGGACACAAAAAGCAGAAGAGCAGGTTTCAAATTTAATATGCACGAAACTAAGGTAATGTGCAACAGTCTTGGCAGAAAACAGCCCTTTGCAATAGACAGACGCTGGAAGTGTCTAAGGAATATGTCTACTTAAGACAGGAAATAACCGCGGAGCCGAACCATGAGAGTGAAATAACTAGAAGAATAAAAAAAAATGACTGGATCGCATTCGTCAAGCATTCTCAAATTATGAATGCTAATCTGCCACTAACCCAAGGCATATAAGAGTTTCATCTTGCCGGTACTTACCTACGGAGCAGAAACCCGGAGGCTTCCAAAGAGGGTTCAGCTTAAATTGAGGACAACGCAGCGAGCGATGGAGAGGGAAATAATAGGTGTAACCTATTACTTTCAAGAAGAGAGCAGAATGGGTCAAGGAACAAACTGTGGTTAATGATATCATGGTTGAACTCAAGAGGAAGAAATGGACATGGGCAGGGCACGTAGCACGTAGGCAGGATAACCGCTGGTCATTAGGCGTAACTGACTGAATTCCCTGAGAAGGCAAACGCACGAAGAGGAGACAAAAAGTTGGGTGGGTCGATTAGATGAGAAAGTTCGCAGGTATAACGTGGCAGCAGAAAGCACAAACCGGGTTGATTGGATGATCATGGGAGAGGCCTTTGCCCTGTAGTGGGCGCAGTCAGGGTGATGATGATGTTGATAATGATGATGGTGTTATAATGGATCTCCAGCTTGAAGGAATTATTCTGAAGGTTTTTTGATTGGGATAGCAATCACATGGGTACTCGAGGGGTACTTTGGCTGTCGCCGCCATGTTCCAGAATATTGAGTCGAAATCGATCACGGCCTTGCCTCTCTTGTGTTCCATATGCGAGTGAGAGCTTGCGCGAAGGTTGCCGATGGGTTCGCCTCAAGCAAATAGGAAATGCGCCGGCCGGCTGCGTCGGTTGAATGAGCATGACGTGGGGTTGATGGTGGGGGCTGCGCTGCTCGGGCTGCAACTGGGCACTTTGATCCAACGGGTGTTGTCGCACGCGATACCTCGACAGAGCTCAGCAGACGGCTCATAAAATTTCCATGCTCTGTAATTTTTCCGTTTACCATGCGTAGAAGTACGAAAACAGAGAACAGCTTCACTCCCGGAGCAGTCGAATTTATTCGCGACAGCGTTATGTAAAATTATGCCAGATCCGATACTGAAGAACTCAGCCGCCAGCCTTACTACAGATAAAAGTCTCCAATGTGTTCAAAATGCTTGGCCTTTGAGAATAAACTGCGGTTCTTCCTTCTTCACAGTGGACAGCTTGGAAGGCCAGAGGGGCATCTTTACTCACCTGCTGTCGCAAGTCTACATTGGCATGGACCTAACCAAGGTCACCTTGCCCACTTTCATTCTGGAAAAGCGCTCCCTGCTTGAAATGTACGCCGACTTCTTCGCCCACCCTGAGCTGTTTGTCAGGTAAGACCTAACAGGTATGGCACCTAATAGAGACCGATAAAATAACAAACTTTCAGTGCTTCCCGATCCGTTACGAACCTCGAACATACTCGATGTTTTCGTAACGCCCTTCTCGTGTTCGTGTTCTCATGTGAAGGCCATCTATGCAGAATTTATAAAGGCATTACAATAAGTCTTCGGAATAGCATCATAGATATGCTACCGATTTTGAGAATGTGCGTGTACTTCAGAGAGAAGTAAAAATTTGGGACCTCGATTGACGATTCAGGACGCACAGGATTTGGACCTTCTGCTTCTTGAGTGGAGGTACTTTCCGCAGACTGCATTTTGCGATCGCATTTGGTACCTTTCTCACGTAATGCAACCACCTTTACGTATCGTGCGATCACTGCAGTCGCATTTGTGTTCATTTTAGGGGCGAAGCTTTTTATAGCGGCACCCGTTCGTCCCTCGTAGTCGTAGTAGTAGTGTGTAACCAGTCTTACATTTTGACCTCCAAGGTGGTGCCGGTGGGAGATTTCTTCTGTGCGTTGTTGAACAATAAAAAATTCACAGCGTGCACATTAACTGAAAACCGAGTTCTCCTGTCTCTCATTCCTCCTTAGCAGACATTGGCATGTACATTGAGCACTATCTGACAAGAAAAGGTTGCTACGTAATACTCGCTGGGCGTAACCTCTTTGCTTTTAGAAACGTTTAGCGAGCGTTGGGACGCTGTGCCATGAATGCAGTGAACTAGTATATACCATGAACTCGAGTTGGTTAAAGGTGGGAAGTGGACACGAAGCGCAAGCCGTAAAAAAGTGTGCGTGTGCCTCCTCTCCTTCAGTCCTTGGAATGTCCGCTGGATGGCGGTGCTTCTATATTAGGAATATATGATGAAAATATGCGAGCTCGTGGTACATGGAGTGTTCAATAGGTGGACGAATGGACACACACAGATGCATGGCTGCACGGATGGATGGACGCATCTACGGATGCATGAGCGGATGCATGGACAAACGCAGAGACGGACGCACAGATGGACTTACGGGCGCACGAACTGATGCACGCACGGACGGGCGGATGGACGCACGGCCGGCCACACAGACGCACGCATGGACGAACGGAAGCAAGAACGAATGAACGGACGGATGCTTCGCCCCACTCTCCATCATTCACTCCGTGGGTATGCTGCCATCTTTTTGGTCAGGTGGCACTGAGGTGGTCTCTCGTGCGGCACTGGCAGAGCAGCGTTCTCAGGGAGGCTTTGCTTTCCCTTAGTTATCCATACGCTCTCAGCTACTGCCACTGCGCTTCGTTTTGCGCATAGTGTAAGGGGAGGAATCTCCCTCGTGAATGCTTCCATATTACTTTCTGGGTACACACCTTTGGCATTTGGTGCCTAATGTGCATCTTATCAGGGGGACAGTCAATAACACTTCCTTCGTTTTATGCAACAACTTGTATTTTTTCGCCATGTCCAGTCGACCTGTCCAGGGGTAGATGTATTGAAGAACAATATAAGTGAGACAACTGCTGCTTTGTTGTTTCCGTTGGTTCCACCAGCCCACCATGCTCGCTCTAGTCGGGTGTTTTGGAGCACATTAACTGCTTCTTTTCAGCTTGGACAATTCCGAGACTGCATGTAGCGCCAAGGATTGGGTGTGCTTCCAGCTCTGGACCACCCCTAGAGGCGGAGAATGGTCCACTCAGCAACATTCTCGAACTGCTCTCTTCGGGAAACCAATCAGCATATTCTGAGGCATCGTGTCACTGCTCGTGTATTCTGGAGAAACGCACACGCTGGATTTCACAGCCTTCGAGTAAATCGCTTCGTTTCTTCTGGGCGTTGTTCTCTAGGCCACTTCGCCTGTCTTCTCATTGTTGTCGGTTCTTTTTGCCTCTGGCGCAACCGCTGCGAGGCGGTTGCGCCACCGCGTGCTCTTCCCGATCCTATGCAGTTGTACTTGGGGCTGCTATCTGTTTTGCCAGAGGAGCTCTTCTTCTTCGGCGAAGAGAAATTTTTTCGGCACTGGTCTTGCCATTCTGTGTCGGTCTCTGACGAACGACTTAAACTTGTCTTTTGGTCGGCCTGGTATTGGATAGGCTGATGTATCGATGCATCGCAAAATGACATGCAACATGTAAATGCGCGAAATGTGTGTATTCCTGTTTTATTTCGTGCCTTTTGTTCATCTTGCAATATGCATATGTGTGCCTGTTTTTTGTGACACACTTTTGTATGGCTGTGTTTGTGTGAAAAATTGATGGTACTTGTTCTTTTCACGTCATCACATATCAATGTTCATGTAAATGAAGTCTGGTTTGTCTTCATCGTTAATGTACGCCTAACAAGACAATATTTGGTTGAAGTGTTACATCTGTGACAATAGCATCTGTGACAATAAAATTTTCTAAACTGCACAGCTGCATTCTAGTTTACATGACTTCATTAACATTGTTCTTTAAGATGTGGCGTATACTACGTCGGTCGTACCATGGCTTGGCGTAATTAGCTTGGTCATAGCATTGTCCTGTTCTAACTAGCTTACTATACTGCACAGCCAAATAGCTAATTAGCCGGGTACACGTGCTCGGGGGCTAGCAGACAACGAAGACTATGAAGAGGGCAGGCACCGGCCGAGCAGTGCGCTAGAATGTGTAGGCTCACTGGGATGATTGACACGTGGCCTGGAAAGTAGCAGCGGTCACAATTTGGTAAGAAACTTGGCCAGAACTAATCTCAGATGCCACCGTGCTGTGTATTTTAAAAGAGACATTGCAGGCATTAAAAAGCTCCAAAACAACTTTAAACATCTCGTGCCATCACGAAAAGTTTCTGACACATTTACTGCACGGGTGCACTTCTGCCCTCTGTGAAACGACAAACAAATTAAGCGCTTGTGTTGTTTTGATTTGATATGTGGGGTTTAACGTCCCAAAACCACTATATGATTATGAGAGACGCCGTAGTGGAGGGCTCCGGAAATTTAGACCACCTGGGGTTATTTAACGGGCACCCAAATCTGAGTACACGGGCCTACAACATTTCCGCCTCCATCGGAAATGCAGCCGCCGCAGCCGGGATTTGAACCCGCGACCTGCGGGTCAGCAGCCGAGTACCTTAGCCACTAGACCACCGCGGCGGGGCGCGCTTGTGTTGTGTGTTCTTTGTAATAGTGGCTGCGCTTCCTAGCAAGATAAATGTAAGAAGATGCCTGTGGTTTGAAAACACCGCCCAACTTTGTCAACCGTCCTTGACGCGATGCCGGGTTTCATCCTAACCTGTAAAATGCAGTGCGCTGAGTGGTGGATTTGACTTTTTCGTACTGCTTGCTTATTCAAAAGGGGGTGTCGTCAGAGTTAGGATTGATCCCGAACTGATACCGAGTTTCGCCAAGCTTGGACGATCTTGCATAGCGCCCCTGACGTCCACTGAAACTACACAATAAAAGAAAGTTGCGCATTGGAAGCGCTCGGTGGCTAGCCTTCATAGAGGCTCTCCTATGGGTGTTGAAAAGGTGAACTGTGATATCAACCTGACCCTACAGTGAGTCCAGAAGCCAGAACGTCAGAGAGCTATCAGATTAGAGCGAGAGGCTAAATATTCGACATTTTGCAAATATCGCGCGTGCGCAAGCAAGGGTGTTTTTGAGACAAATAGCGTTGGTCATAGACCAGGAGACAATCTATATTTTTTAATTGAACACTTCGCCCTTGCTTTTACTTTCATTCATTCTTCTAATGCTGTCTTCAACTGATAGAACCTAGTAAGAGACGCGACATTCCCGTACTACATTTTGAAAAGCCCTTGGTGTTCTTTAGCGCCCTCGCTTGAACTATGAGGAATGAACACGTGTAAAGCAAGAAAAAGTCTGTGGGCGAGAGTTTTCGCGTGGAAAGCATTCTTGCAGGGAGCCAATAAACCCATTTGGGCGAAGTCCACTTGGCAAACTGGAATGCAGACTGAAAATAATAATATCTGGGGTTGGCCTATGCCAAAACCACGCTATGGTTATGAGGGACGCTTTAGCAAAGGCTACCGAGAATCAAGACCAGCTAGGGTTTTTTCGATGTCCGACCTAAACCTAAGCACATCTAGTACGACGATAGTTATAGTGCGACAGCATAACGACGACAAAGAGACGTTGCGTCCTTCGTAATGAAGGCTGCCACGGCAGGAATTCAATCCCGCGTCCTTCGGGTCAGAGGTGAAGCATTATAACCTTTATATAGACCATTAGCGGTGGATGAGACTCAGGGAGAACGCCGAGTAGTACAACATCAAAGCGAAAAGCAGCGCGAAACACAAGACAGTGAAATAGACGGAAAACACGCTGACCTACACGTTACAGCTAAGCTTTTATTCCATGCATGGGCGTATATATAGCACACGCAACATGAAAGGAGGGAAGGATAACAACGATGTGGAACTTTTGGTAATGAAATATTTTTATGCGTCTCAAAAAAACTTCGATGAAGCATTCATCCCCTTGACAAATACGCAACTTCCCTGGTGAGAAGCACTAACCAAGGTATACTCACGCACAAATCACCTTTGTTGTCAATCCAAAACACCTCGTAAATCCCTCGTGTTTGTTGATCACTGTATCGTCGAAGTATCTTGCATTGATCAAACATATAGCATGGCAGGCGCATACGAAGATATATGCGCAGCTAAGCGGCCGCATGAGAAGGGAACTTCGTATACCGTGGGTTTCACGCTGTTTTTTCGCTTTGTTGATTATGTACCAACCGGCCCATATCAGCATTTTATTACAAGAATGGAAATTGAAGTAAAATGAAGTAAACATTATTGCCAAATAGATACAAAACATGTTTAAACAGCAAGGACGGTGGGATAAAAGCTGCATATATGCAGCTTTACTTGTCTTACCTCCCAGAACAATAAAAGCAGCAGCAAATACTGTGATGGGGCGAGATGGTGCACCGTAACAATATTAACGAGAGTTCTCACTTGTCGCAATAATAAAATATAAATACACAAAGCAAAGCGATAAAAATGTTCTCTAGGAACAGTAGGATTGAGCGTGTTGGTATAACATGATAAGAGTGTTTACCAGCGCAAACGACTTTTTCGCTCCAGCCTCATGTTGTCGTTCAGCGCTCTGTCTCGTCTCTTCTCTTGTCCCCTCCTGCCCTGTCGTTTGCGCTGGTAAGCACTCTTTATCATGTTCTCTGGGAATTCGTATAACCTCAATGACTTAGTGCAGAGGCACGAGGAAGACCGACCGATACGATGTTTCTATATGGGTCAATGTGTATGACAGTATGGGTGCATGCCGTTCAGCAAGAATACTAAATGTGTCGCTCGATTTTCGGCCGTGTTTTCAGCATCGTGGACCGGGGCAACGCCAAAGAACGCATGGTGGAAGTAGTGCGGTGGTACCTGTCCGCCTTCCATGCCGGACGAAAAGGAGACTTGGCCAAGAAGCCGTACAATCCGGTCTTGGGTGAGATCTTCCGATGCTACTGGAGGATTGGCGACAAAGCAGGGGTCAGTGTGCAAACGCTCTGTCTCTTCGTCTTTCTGAGCTTGGCTGTATGCAGCGAGTGCTTGAATAGGTTATTCATGCTCTAGTAGATTTGTGTTGCAGAGATGTTGGGAAGTGCACGCACCCAAAGACAGTTCCTGAAAGTAAACATTCGACAGAAGTCTGTCGGTTGGGTATGGAACTTGGAGATGATTTAGTCTCCAACCAAAAGTTTTGAAGAAACCCGACGTTTCGGAACCGACTTGGTTCCTTTCTCAGGGTTGAATTTGGAGGCTACGTAGCAGCGTCGTCCTCAAAGCACTAGTGGGGTGGCTAATCACCCCCCCCCCTCTCTCTCTCTCTCGTTTTGCCGTGGAGCGCAGTCCGTGTGAATACACTGGGGGAAGGGTTCAGAGAGAGCGGTTGATATTATGGGCTGTCATCTGTATGTGCCACGACAAGAGTAATAACCTTCTCCTCCAGTTCGGCTCGCTTTCAAGGATGGCCGTCAAAACGAGAGAGAGAGAGATGAGTCATTAGCCACACCGCGAGTGCTTTGAAGACGACGCTGTTACGTAGCCTCTGCAGTCACCCCGAGGAAGGAACCAAGTCGGTTTCGAAAAATCGGGTTTCTTCAAAACTTTTGGTGTGAGTCTAAATCATCTCCCAAAGACAGTTCCATATGTTTTTTTCTCTAAATTGACCTTCGGTTAAGTGAGCCCGATTTTTTCTTGTAGGAATGCGTATTGGCAAATACATACCTTTGGTTTGTAAACATCTGTAATTAATCTTGTGCACTCGGGAATAGCAGTACGTGTATTGACGAGCCTCACGTTGCTCTGGAAGGTGTCTTGCTGCAATTACATTTTCTCCTGAGTGAAATAACGTTCTTATTGCTCTCTGTGCAGGGAATTGTGGAGTAATGGTGTATGCTAGTAATATATATATATATTATATATATATATAATATATATATATATATATATATATATATATATATATATATAACGACGCGACCAAATGCATGTTGCTGACCGTTGCCTGGACTTAGTCAGACTATTAATTTGTTTTGAAATACTGTTTAATTAGATTTGTTTAATTAACTAACATTTGAGGGAGCGAACATTAGAAATTTCAATGAGAAAGTTGCAGATTGATTTACCAAACGGCCCACGAAATAAAAAAAAATACCACGTGACAAACCCACTGGCGCACCTATGCGTGCCGGGATTCTGGTGCTCTATAAGGTTCCGCGTATGAACGACAGGCTTCCCTCTTCCCGGTGCGTGACAGCGATAAGCAGTCACAGCGGTTATCGTTTTTGTGGCTGATAGCAAAATGTGTTCATTTCAAAGCCACCACCACCATCGTTGCGGCCCTGTCGAGAAGGCACAATCGGGCAAATGCTATGGTCCTTCGTACGCGGAACGTTAGGGAGAACTAGAATCATGGTGCGCAATGACGTGCGAGTGGGTTTGCCACGTGGTGTTTTTTCTTGCGTTTCGCCAACGTATGTATTTAGCAGAAAAACACTAATAATTAAAATACATAAAGTTTAAAACTGTCTAGTCAGACATTTCGCAAACCGATCCACAACTTTCTCCGTGAAATTTTTGTTCATCTTCGTTCCTTCGAAAGTGATTTACTCAAACATATCTACTTAAACAATATTTTAGAATACAAAAAATAGTCTAACTACAGGCAACTGTCAGCAACATGCAATTGGTCGCGTCCTAATTGCGTGTGTCGGCATATTTTTAAACTCTGGCTAAAGATAGGTGGGGCACCCTGTATATATATAATGTGTATGGGTGTGTGTTTATCGGCATACAACAACACCAACAACACACGACCATAAACCATAATCCCCCTTTTTACCATACTTTTTGTTGCTATTTCATGCGGTTTTGTTTAAAGCGTATTGTGTCACGTCTGATAATTTTTTTCTGTTTAGCTTGATGACTCAATTTACGTGATTATTGATTTGATTGATATGTGGGGTTTAACGTCCCCAAAACCAACATATGATCATGAGAGACGCCGTAGTGTAGGGCCCCGGAAATTTTGACCACCTGGGGTTCTTCAACGTGCTCCCAAATCTGAGCACACGGACGTACAACATTTTTCATCTAAAATGTAGCCGCTGCAGCCGGGATTCGATCCCGCGACCTGCGGGTCAGCAGCCGAGTGCCTTAGCCACTTAGACCACCGCGGCGAGGCTACGCGATTATTAGCGTTCACTGTCATGTAGTAGTAGACATATATACACGTATGTTTTTCATAAATCCTTAGTCGGATGAATCCTTAGTGCTACGTTTAAAGAACCCCACGTGGTCGAAATTTCCGGAGCCCTTTATTACGGCGTCTTTTACATGGTAGTTTTGATCATCTTAGTCGGAATTCGGCGCTTGCCTTCGTTCTATTTCTTGTCCGCTATCCACTTTGCAATGCCTGTTGAAGATCAATACGGAATCTGAGGTCGTCGTCTGAAGTGCTCAGTCGATCATGTCGATGCATCCGGTTTTCAGTGTAGTATACTGCAATATAGAAAGGAGCCGGCAAATGATATGAACTCATAATAAATTGTTGTTTTGAAAATACACAGCTAATTGTAAGGTTCTCCCGAAGAAAACTCGGTTGCAAGAGTACCGTCAGAGTAGTTCCAGAATCACGGCAAAGCGTGGCGATCGTAGTAAAGGATTAATAATTATTGTTTAAAAGATTAATAGATAGTAAAGGAATAGTAATATGAAGAATAATAACAGTAAACGATTAATAATTAATATGTGGTGTGTAACGTCCCCAAACCACCATATGATTATGAGAGACGCCGTAGTTGATGGCTCTGGAAATTTCGACCACCCCCATAGGGGTTCGTTAACTGAGCGCACTTGCCTACACCATTTTCGCCTCCATAGAAAATTCAGCCGCCAATGCCGGGATTCGATCCCGTGGCCTGCGGGTCAGCAGCCGAGTACCTTAGCCCTTAGACCACCGCGGCGGGGCAGCACGCAATAAAGGAAGTGTACGAAGAACGTTTCGGGCTAAACACGGGAGTCTGACGTCGTGGGTTCATTGAGAACGAGGTGGTAGGTTGACGGCTTTAGGCTGTTTCAAGTACATAATTTACGTCTTAAACAAAAAAATGAAAGTGTATTGAACCAACAGGCATTTATCATTTTCTTGATACTTCCGATAATCCGACTTTCCGTTTATTTAGACCTTTTTTTCCAGTTCCATGAAATCTGAATGAACGAGCTTTTACTCTTTCGACGTTATAGGTTGTACAGTGAACCATATCTGAGGACGAGGCAGGCAAACAGTGATGCGATGTCTTGTCAACATCACAAAAGTGCTCGGTGAGATCTTGATCGGAGGTCGTCCTGGTAAATGCAGGATCCCGTGCCCGACGGACCTGTGCCCTGGGCTACCACGAACGACTTGTGCTTCATCGCCGAGCAGGTGTCCCACCACCCGCCCGGTAGGGTGACAAAGTGTGCTTTCTTGTGTGTGTTTTTGTTAGCTCATTGCTCCTATACAGCGATATAAACATTCATCGCTACGCGAATCGATGCAGCCGAACGACGCAGCGCGCCTCGAGTCACCAGTTTCCCAATACTTGCACACGTTGCTACGGACAAATGGCCGCCACAGTGGTGATGTGCTTAGACGTGAGACCTGATGGTAACCGCTCTGAAGAAACGTCCTCGCCAGCTGAATACCGGTTGCACACAGTCATCAACAATCATAACATGAACGCTCCGACGCGTCACCTTTACATTGACAGATGCCAACAGTGAAGCGCTGGGCGCTGTTGTCGACATAATGCCTCGATATGCTTGGATTGTGTGTCGAAGTGCCTGGCTAGTAGCATCTCGGCAACAGAACCTGAAGCTACACGGGTCTAGCGTTTGTCAAACTGTTCCAGGCACACACTGCGGAGCGCCCGGGTTAAGCATGCTGATGACTGCGCGTGAAAAACCTAACGCAGCCAACGGAAGCACACTTAAGGCGGAAGCCACATACCGGATGCATGCTGCATACGCCCGAGGGCAGTCAGTCTTACCGACGGAAATGATTTTGGACGTTCAGGATACAGAGAGTTCTGGCAGATATGCAAATGGCGTGTATCTTGATAAGTGGGTATGATCAACGAGGAACGCTGATTGGAGGCCGGTCATTGTGATATGACACACTGTAACCCTGAGCTCGTAAGCTGCGCGCCAGTCCACGCACCGTACTCAACTTTGTGAGCGCATATTTGGTCACACGTAACGTTGCTGCTGTCACTTGGCCAAGTGAATCATGCAGTGTCAAAACAAGTACTGTCGACAGTGACAGCGGCAGCGGTGTCTCAGTTTGGCCTTGGCGTGCTGGGACACAGCACACCAAGGTGAAACTGGGATGAAATCGTTTTAAACGTCCAGCACATGACACTCGTAGAGGTCGTCTAATGAATTATGTCCCGAAATCCCCAAAGGTAACAAACGGGGAATATTTGCTTGCTGAATAGGTGATTACTTCTTTCTCGCTGCCGATATTTTTAGATGGCTGGGGACACCAATCAGGCAGTAATTAGGTAAGCTAAATTAACTGTCTTATTAGCCTGTGGAGAAAGTTGTGGGCTTGAGATTATGAAAAAGACTAGTTATTACAGAGTAATTAAGTTCAACCAATTTAATCGAGGAGCATATGAGGACTCGTCCCCTCACTGTGAACTCACAGCTTCCAACGACGAATCCCTAAAAACCACCTGGCGTTTGCTTTTAAAGTGTCGGCCTTCTACGCGGAGCATGCGGGCAAGGGCATCTGCTGCTGCGCGCACATTTGGACCAAATCCAAGTTCCTGGGCATGTCCATCGGGGTGCACAACGTCGGCCTGGGCACCATCTGGTTCTTGCGTCACGACGAGGAGTACACGGTGAACTTCCCCAGCGGCTACGGACGCTCCATTTTCACCGTGCCTTGGATCGAGCTGGGAGGCACCGTCAACATCAATTGCGAGAAGACCGGCTACAGCTGCACCATTGAATTCCTCACCAAGGTATATATACCCGCTCTCTGTACGCTATGTCTAACCGACGAGACGGTAATGTGGGATGCCTCCCTGCGTCTTGAGGGAGCGCAAATAGGTTAATTGCATCGGTTGCTGCGAAAGCGGGATCACAAGTAAACTGTAAGCTCATATGCCACGCTGGTTAGGAGGTGCCAATGCACTTACGCATGCACAGACGCCAGATGCGTGAGGTGCCATAGCTGTCACCACCTCTTTCTTATAGTGGGTCTCTTTAAGGTTTCCCGAAGGTATGCGTACTTATCATTCAGCAATATAATTGAAATTTCAATAAATTAAAATGACCTGAAGAGACGGAAGTGGTACACTACAGACAATCGCTAACACATTCACAGATTCATATGGAAACCCTGGCCACACAGATCGTGTGGCGAGGTTATCATGCTTAGTCCCATGTTACGAGAATGTCAGGACTTGATATGTGATAACAAAAGTACCAATCCCGCTGTCTCTTCCACCATCAATACTCCTTCGCGCTAAATGACTGCTCTGCTTGGCTGGAACATTACGGCACAATGGGGGCGGAACAGCGAGCTGACGAATCCGCTTAGACAGGTCTGAAAACTGTGTCCGCGGCGTGTGCTCAGACTGACTAGAAAGACGCCAGAGTTTAATCTCATTGATTGGACAATTAAAGATTGCGGTCTTCTCAGTTCATGAGATCAACTAAAGCGCCGCCACTAGGTTCAAACTAAATTATTCAGCCTGCCCAGTAACATGGTTCTTTACCGCAGAGCTGGCATTTTACAAAGACACTCCTTGAGGTGCAGACGAAACGACAATCGATGGCTACGTTTGTTCGCGAAAAATCCGGAGTTTTAAAAACGATGCCCAATAATTCGAAACACGCCGGGTGAACGCCGCTCAAAGCGGGCGATTTTGCCAGAACAACAGACCTTATGCGAAACTGTTCGAACGTCTGTCGAGAGTGAGCTGGGTGTCTTGATATGTGGAGTTTTACCGTCCCAAAACCACCATATGGTTATGAGAAACGCCGTAGTGGAGGGCTCCGGAAATTTAGACCACCTGGGGTTCTTTAACGTGCATCCAAATCTGAGCACACGGGCCTACAACATTTCCGCCTCCATCGGAAATGCAGTCCGCCGCAGTCGGGATTGATCCCGCGACCTGTGGGTCAGCAGCCCTTAGCCACTATAGACCATCGCGGCGGCGCGAGCTGGGTGTCTCGACTCATTCATCTTGGTTAGGTCAAGAAGTTTCGGGGTTCCTCATGGGATTTCATGTGTTGTTGCAGTGTGGTCACGATGAATTTACAGTTTTCGGCGCTTTAATTTAACCACTTGTAATCATCGTGCTACGTAAAAATAGCGTGAAGGCAACGCTTTCCAACCACCTGCCATGCGTGTAATATGAAAAAACGATTCGAAAGTTGTGTTACCCGTCAGCGAAGATGCTTCAGCCAGCCTCTGTATATCGGTGTCGTCTCGCCAACTGACGTAGTCATACAACTTTTCTGCCATCGGTAGCTACGAACACCTGATATTTGATATACTATAGGCATCAAATGAAATGCAAACAGCATGCAAGCCTTAGCCGTCATTACCACTGGTGCGTGCGCATATCCAGTTTGACAGCTCTGCGCATAGCACGCCTGTTTATGGAGATGACTGGATGACCTGCGCTATGCCCTTGCAAACGCTTGCCGCTGCTCACGCTTCATTTGATGCCGATAGTACGTGAGCGTTGTAGCGCTTCTACGCTGCGCGACGTCAACATCGGTAGCCACATGCTGTAATGGCTATTGAGCGAGGTGTCCCGTCGCAGCTTGTTCTATGTGAACACGTTAAAACCGCGATAAAGAAAGCAAGCGTAAACATATTGGGAATATGTGAAACGTTTCCGTTCTTTCCTATGAACGCTCGATGGCCCTCGGCGCTCCGCGCTGCGGCAGTCACACACAATCCTCTCAGTCAACGAGTGACAACGTAATTTTATTAGCGTGCTGCGTGTTATTGTTGGCGTAATGCAAGGGTGACAATGCAACATCCTGAATGGCATAGGCAGCGCTCATAAGTTCACAGCGACGGTGACGAAGCCCCTGCACAAGCTCTTCTGAAGTAACATCGTTGTGCGAATAATTTCGCTCGCTTCATTCGTGCAGGAGTGTAATCAGTAGGCGTGACATCGTACACACTACAGCATTTTGTCGGTTTTATTTTCTCTTCCCCATGCAAAGCATGAAACACAATCAGATTTATTCATAAAAAAACTTCGAGAGGAAGCGCCATGTTTCACACTAAGAGGCACCTAAACAGAGCTTACCTGGGGTTACAAGTTCTGGAAATAAAGTGTACTGCAGGGAATTAAAGTTACAAAAAAAAGCTACCATGTCGTACCAATCACACTTTTGCTGAGTAACGAAGCACAAAAAAAAAAAATGGGAACAAACGCGTTGACCATGGAAGCTGCACATGATACAGCCTGTATTTATTAGATGTAAAAAAGAAATTTTGTTTTATGCACCAATAAGCACTAGGCAGTTGACCTCGATAAACAGCTCATGCATAAGCCAAATGATTATCCGACTCGATCCAAACGCCAACAGAATATATTACACATATAACAAACCGAAGTACCTTCTTTCCTTCAGTACCGGTCACATCGAGTTTCTTGCAATATAGAAAACATAGCATTGTAGCGACACCTTGATTACAACGAATAAAAAAATTACATATTTTCCACTGAGACATTCACGACCGAGTACGCAGAAACGTGTGCTCCGTCGGTCCGCGCAGATGTCGTCTGCTCCACCTGACAACCAAGATGGCGCCGGTGATTGCGACGATGCCTGTTAGATGGCACTGGTAATTTCGCATAGGGTCCATTTGCGTTCGGGTACTATTGTGACACTGACCGTTATAAAATGTCCAGAAAATGGCACGGCACTCTGAGCAACGACGGATGAACACCTGTGACTCACGCGTCTTTGGCAACACGTTGTTGCCCAATGTGACAAAGCGATGCGAGAGTGCCTCCGAAATCCGGACACGTGAGGGCCTTGAGACTTAAATCTTAAGGATGACTTTCAAGGAATCCTTTATCTGCACACCCGTGTACAACGTACATTGCCAATATCAACACCTGCAGAGTCTACAGTAAATGTTGGGCGGGCTTGTTATGGTATTCATAGTTCAATTGCAGCCTATGTACAGGGTGTCCCACATAACTTGGGCCAAGAATTTTAAAGTGAAAGGAACTTAGGAAACGGATTGAACCAAACGCATACTACTAGCACTAGCCTATAGGTACACCGGCAATTTTTTTATTTCTCCCCATACTAATTAAATAAAAATTCTTAATTACCTAATCTTTAATTATGGGCTGGAAACCCGAAATATGAACACTGAGATGTGGAGATGTAGGAAACATTTCAGATGAATTTGTGGTAATTAGCATATTTTCTTTAGGAGAAAGAGTGAGACGTCGAGGTGTACTATTTTTGTGAGTATTTGCCTCCGGTTTGTTAAAAAAAATGAAAATATTGGTAAAAATGTATCCACTGTATTGCCTCTATAAAAGAATAGTGCCGCAAGCCCCGTGTAAATCTCACAAAACTCGGGTGTGTTAATGTGTCCGAAAGTGCTCACGTAATGCCACTTGTTTCAAATACCTAGGAGTTAGTATAATGCACACATTGAAATGGCACTCGCATATCGATAAAATCTGTTCTAAGGCAAACAAATAACTGTGTTTTCTAAAGAAAAATTGGGAACATGCCACACCGTATGTAAAACTAACTGCTTACAAAACATTCATACGTCCCGTCTTAGAGTACGCTAGTATTGTGTGGTCACCTCACCAGAAGGTGTTGTGGACAAAAATTGAAAGAATGCAAAAATTAGCAGTCCGTTCCATATGCGGTAGATACCGACACACACACACACACTCAGTCACAGCTCTGCTAAAGTCCTGTGAGCTTGAATCTTTGGAATATCGCAGGTGCAAACATCGCCTCAAATTTCTTTTTAGGATTATTAGCGGGCAAACAAAAATAAATAAGGATTTATATCTTCAGCCCCCTGAACGGCGATGTGATCGTCTTAATAATAGTAAAGCAATTCAACCTTATTTCACACGCACGAATGCTTTCCGCCACTCCTTTTTTTTTAGAACACAATAGATATGTGGAATGGTTTACCCAATGCGGTTGTGCAACAAACAACATCAGTGAATTTCGAAAATGCATTAGACAGTTTCCTTCGTAGTGATGTGTGCTAAATTCTGTTGTGAGCATTTATTCGATGATTTTTTATATGTATAGTCACTGTTCTTTGTTTCTTATTTTTTTGTTGTTGGTTATTCATCTCGTATTTATATGTGCTTTTGAATTTTTCTTTTTTGTACGAACATTATGTACGTTGTGACACCCTCCTTGTAGTGACCCCAAGCACGGGGTTGACAGTATTAAATAAAAAAAAAAATGCATGGGCACTCGTACACATAAACCCTCTGAACAGGCGTATGTACGGTTTTACGAAGCGTTTCGCTCCCCCTATGTGCAGCCGTTGATCGGAGGCAAGAAGCACCAGCTGACGGCAGAGATCTACCCTCCCAACGACAAGCGGCCTTTCCTCACGGTCTCTGGCGAGTGGAACGGCGTCATGACGGCAAAGAACATTCACGGGGTAAGAACACTCGCTGCGTCTCGATCGCTGCTCTCAAATATCCTTTATATGAGTGCATGCGCGGTAGCACACCTGACGCTATGCATGCGCTCTCACCTGCGCCAAACGGTAACGCGAACTCTCTCTTTGCGGTCCCGACGCTAATGTACCGGAACCTGAACAAATAGCTAGCGTACATCCGTTATGAACGACACGACTGCGTGCAGTGTGACATCGCGAATGCAGTTCACATACACACACGCACACACAAAAAGCGTCGGGATGCGAACAATGTTCCTCTTTCAATGTGTCCTGGCTACTACACCAAGAGAAAGCTACCAACCTGGATTTGGTACCGGCGATAGATATTCTTTTCCCATAGCACTATCATAGTCTTCGTAGGGCCAGTTAAAGGGGACGTGACATGACCATTCAGAAAACTGTGGCCTTGGGCAATAAATAGAAGTAGATGGTCGATTCTGTCTGTACTTATATGAAAAAGAAGAGCCCTAGAAGTCGACGGCTACGGGCCCCGCCCACCGACGATGACAGCCATTTTGCAACGGCATGTGTGACGCCATGGGCTTCATGGAGTGGAGACGTCATCTCCCACCCAAGTTTCAGCCGCTACAAACTATTCAGTTTTCATTGTCGAACTGAATACCCCTTTCATAGCACCATTTCACGCGCAGCTAACGACAAAACGATATCGAAGTCTGTAGTACACGCACTCGCGAAGCGAGTGACCAATTACTTCGCGGCTCGCGAGTGCACTGCAGTGTCCTCACACTCTGGGACCGCTCGCGCGTTTATCAAACTGATCTTTATAATTAACTTTTGAACAAAATGTACCGCAATTTCACGCAGCTTGTTTGATTATTGATATGTGATGTTTAACGTCCCAAAACCACGATATTGTTGCGGGTGGGATGACAGATGACAGAAAACGGGCATATTCACAATATTTACAGTCCACAGTAGTGCGGGCAAAAACAGCCAAGATGGCGAGAGCAGGCACCACCTAGTCCTCTTTTTATTCGTCCTCTAGGTGAGCGGCACATAACAATACGATTATGAGAGCCGCTGTAGTGGAGGGCTCCGTAAGTTTTGACCACCTGGGGTTCTTTGACTTGCACCCAAATCTGATCGCGCAGCTTGTTTGTGAACACCCAATGATTAAGCTGCATAACACAGATGAGGAGGGAAATGGAATGTCAAGGTTCCTTATAAGAGCCAGTCAGATATATACAAGTAGATTCAAGCAGCACTTAGCAGGGTGCAATAAAGTTAAAAGAACGTGTTTTTTTAAGGGGGGGGGGGGGGGTAGAAGTTGTTGGAGGGGCATGGCAGAATTCCGAAGCGTTATTTGTGATGCTTTCTTAGCTGTACCTCTACTACGTAGCCATTAAAAATTAACACTCTTTGCAAAGGGAGTAAATTTTACGCAATAAAACCTGAGTGTACACATCGCACATTTCCCCAGTTAATTGTTTTAATGGCACCGAAACTACGATTTGATTATCAGTAGATCAAATTACTTGAGTGTATAGGTTTCTTTGACGAACGCCTAATTTAAGTGCAATCGAGTTCATTCGTTTTGCCGTCCACGAAACACGGCTGCCGTAAATCGAGCTCGCATCCTCGGACCTAGCAGCGCAACACCAAAACCACTAAACAATGGTAGGTGCGTAGTCAATTGGCAGCGTAGGCCTGAAATGTCCACCGGTAAGTCGAGCAAGGCCAGTAATGGGAAACCTAGAAATACCGTTCTGAATTCTATATAACTGAGCAAAAAAAAAAAAACAATGAAATAAAGAGAAACATGTGCGACGTTCGGTTAGTTCTCTTCATTTAAATAATGAAACAATATTATCTCAGCTTTTACGTCCCAAAACCACCATAAATTTATGAGAGATGCCGTAGTGGAGGGCTCCGGAAATTTCCACCATGTGATGTTTTTTTTTTTAACGGGAACTGACATAACACATCTCACGGGTCTCTACAATATCGCCTCCATCGAAATTCGACCGCCACGGCTGAGATCGTACCCACGACCTTTGCATGAGCAGCCGAGCACTGTAGCCACTGTTATATGGAGGCGGGCTTAAAATAATGAAAGTTGCTGTTGGCGAACACTTGCACGAATTCGGCTGATACCATCAGCAATATGTCTAACATACCTTAGCTATTACTTCGAAATTCTAAACCGCAGTGACAGTTCATTCCCGACCCGGCTTTTTTCAAGCCTCGCTGTCTTTGCTGGCCTTTGTGAGATTATAACCAACGATGTCTAAGCTGATCGTGTGAAAATTGTTATCACAAATGCCGCTTTTCTGCAGACTGAGGTGACCTTCGTCGACACGACAACCATGCCGATCACGAGAAAGATTGTCCAGCCGGTAAAAGATCAAATGCCTCACGAGTCTCGCAGGTGAGGTCGCAGTGAATGGGTGACAGAACTATGTGCGCAGCAATGCGAAACACACCTCACGATAATAAGTTTTTGTCACAGAATGCACGCCCCACCGCAAGTTCTGATAATTTAGACCTCCCTTTCGAAAAAAAAAAACACTATACACTCAATACAACAAACACATATATAACGAAATATCACTTATAACAAAGTAAATGAATGATAGTCTTGCAATAGATACAGTGCTAGAAATAAGTTTTATTTTCGGATATAACGAACGGATTTTTTGTAACGTGCAACTTTGTCATAATGAAGTTTGAGTGTAGTCCAATGTCATTTGGGCCCGGAGGCACGCCTCCCCAATGAACAAAGCGTGGCAGCCAATCGTGCAAAGAAATAGCCCCACACATGTACGCAACAATGTTTTCTAAAGGTGGAGTCACCAGACGTCCTGCTCGTGACGTCAGTCGAGAGTACGTGCCCACTGGTGCACGCTTGTGTGTAGCCGCCGTTGACTATAGGCAACGCCGCAGGTTGTGTACGACTACTGTGCACGTGCACAATTAACGGAAGTATCTTTCAGCCAGCGCTGGTCATATGTCCTTACTTGTCCGTGTTTGCATAGCGCTGTCTTTAACGAAGAACCTTTAAAGGATTGACAACTAGCCAGAAATGACCAAGAGTAGGGGCGCGGTGCCGAGGAAAGCCCACGTGTTGGCTGGACGGCCGCTTTCAACCTTCCCCCGTGTTTTTCTGACCTTCATCTGCGCTACTTAAGTTCAACCGCACCGTAATAGCTGCACGCTGTTCCTACCTTACGAAGTCTGTCGCATCGTGTATTGAATGCTTGCGTAGGGTGTTTTAACCACAGCAGTTTACTATGGAGTAGGCACATTATTACCATGTCGTCATGTTCGGAACGCAGTTTCTTTTAGGCCCGTATCCATGAATCAAACTTATCTTCACACGTTTTGCCTAAGTTTCTGTGCATACTACGGCCAATAAAAGGGCATATAAAGGTAGCAGGGCAAAACATATAGCGTGCTTTACCGGACTAATTTTTGCACACAATAAAGACACAAAGGCAACAAAGAAAACGCGAAATAGGGATGAGGTTGGTTCTTAAATACGCGCCTTACAGTGCAAACTTCTAGTAGCCCCTTTCATCCCCCAGTCGCGTTACCGCACCAAATGTGCAACTCAGGTGGCTCTGAAACGTTTCTATGGGTAACCGTATCTGTACTGCATGGTTTTAGTTAAGTAACCACATACGGTCAACCGGTACCCCTAAGACACTTGCACAACGTTTCAGTCTGTCCGTTATTCCATATACGCAACGATTTTTGTGTGTAGCCGAATACTGGGTGTGAACTGCGTATACGCGCGGAATACTGGAAACGCCCGATACGCCTAAAAACGGCAGGAAAACACGACCGCGCCATCGAAAGGAAGTCGAAAGCACTCATGGTGCACCTAGAATATATATAGTGGCCGTCGCGTGTTCGACGACTTGACGCTTGTATTCACTTTAGATTCCTGGCCTTATGCTCCGACGGCAAAGTATTCCTGTCGATTCGGCATGGTTTCCGAGAGCTGCACAACAATCGGATAGCATAAAGTACGTGTTCGCTAAATCTTTTTTTTTTAAATCCTCCATAACTGGGGCCACTCGACGTCAGTGTATTGCAGGTCAATTACATCCAAAGATAACCGATGTCGAATAAGCCAAGATAGCGAACCAAGTTAACGAAACAAGCATGATTGATTGATTGATTGATTTGTGGGGTTTAACGTCCCAAAACCACCATATGATTATGAGAGACGCCGTAGTGGAGGGCTCCGGAAATTTTGACCACCTGGGGTTCTTTAACGCGCACCCAAATCTGAGCACACGGGCCTCGACATTTCCGCCTCCATCGGAAATGCAGCCGCCGCAGCCGGGATATGAACCCATGACCTGCGGGTCAGCAGCCGAGTACCTTAGCCACTAGACCACCGCGGCGGGGCAACGAAACAAGCATGCCCTTGCACTATCTGCAATGTACCAGCTTTTGGCAAGGATGGAGAGCTCATTATTGGGTATACGTTGAGAATACGCGGATGCGGTGACTAATTGCTACGCGGAATTGCTTGCGTATTTTGGGCGTCCACATGCTAAATCTTGGTTGCGAGTGGCGCTAAGCTATCAAGTGTGCTGCTACACGCCCTTGCGAATAGTGGCATATCAGACTAAAATGTTGCAATATGACAGCAAGTGCGCGACACTTTTGTATGCAAAGGCTCATTGCGTGTTCTTCGTTCGAGCAGGATGTGGAAGGACGTGACGCTTAACTTGAAGCGTAAGGACGTGGACAAAGCCACGGAGTTCAAGTCGCAGATAGAAGACCGGCAGCGCAAAGAAGCGGCCGCGCGGAAGGAGGCCAACGGCAAGTGGGAGACCAGGGTATGTTACCGAACGACAGCGATGGATTTGTGACAGTAATATTATGTGCCTTCGGTATCGGCCAACGAACGTTCATGGCCTGTGACACGTCGATCAGCCGAATCCAATATTTGTTCAGTGCCCTTTTAGCTAAAGTTTGTCACTCGTTTACTGTAAAGTTGTTCGCAAGAGTTCTGAAAGGCAATATCTACTATATAAAATGATGATTCCAAGTATTAGTCTCTGAATAGATGTTATGACGTTGCTCAATGCCAACTGAAATAATTAGCCGCCCGAGATGTAGCAGTCTGCTATCCAAAAAAGTCCTTGTCAATATTTTAGAACAACTGTAAGAGAGAGGGTGGTGGTCGAAAATTTTGCGGCTTTCTCGCCACATTTGTGCCATGAGATATAAGCGAATAGATGCACCCACTGATGTTCTTCGGCGCGAAAGTAAAGTTTCGGGATGTATTGAAATTACAAAAACATCTGTTCGCTGTCGTATCGAGAAACTTAGGCTTTTTTCCAAGAGAGCACTGCGCAGCCAAAATGCATAGTAGATCAGAATCCAATGCAAATACGGGAGCCGACAAGTGGAAACACAATGTGCAATCAATGTTTTTTTAACAAAGGTTAAGAGCCTCAGAATGACTTTACCGGCTTGTTCATATAGGTGGCCATGTCTTTGTTGAAGGGTGCCTCGTCAACCTTGGCGGTTTAGTCTTAATAAGTTAGTGATTTGGGTGACTTGGTGTCGATGCCTGTACCAGTCATGTTAGAGTTTGAGTTTGGTTTATTTACCACGTACAGTTGTACAGTAAGTGGCTGGGACAGATGGAAAAAGCTGTACAAAACAGCTTGACAAAGCGCCATATCCCCATGGAAACTGTGGCAACAAAAACGGCAAAATCAAATTAAATACAGGACTGTTTAAACCAGCAATGCATTTGCTTTGCATCAGAACAAAAAATTTAAACAAACTATACCAACCAAAAACGCACATGCTATACATCGAAAGAAAGAAGTAATCAAACAGAAAATAATACTACACACAAATTAGTAAAGCATATTTAATATAAAAATAATAGAGAGCATACGAACATTTTCATATTTAATTGCTAATTTATTTAGTATATTTGGCAAGCAATAACTCAATGTCTGAAAGCCATAGTTTGTGCGCGGTCTCGGCACATGCCAATATTCAGAGTGTCGGTTTAGGCGCGTTGAAGGATCTAATTGCAAATTAGCTAAAGTACGTATATAGCCACGACCGTTTATGGTATCAGATCCAAAAGAGACTGCTAAAGAATATTCGTATAGCAGGTTTAATTTGAATATTTTGTATTTAGCAAATAATTGTGAAGTATGGGCATTAAAAGGGAGGTTAACAACAGATTGTAGCGCCTTTTTGTAAAATAATAAGATTACTAATAGATCGCTTTGATCTATTACCCCAAATTAGGTTGCAGTAACTTAGATGGGATGTAAAGAGCGCATTAGATATCAGAAGTTTTTGAGAAACTGGCAATAAACCCTGACATTTTCTCAAGACACCCAAGACTTTGCAAAGCTTGTTGTATAAAAATTCCGTGTGATAACCCCATTTCATGTGTTCATGAAAAACAACGCCCAAAGACTTCGCGGTGGAAGAAAATTCGATTATGCTGCTATTTAACATGAGATTGTAGGGTTCAGTGGTTTCATTTAGGGGAGATTTCTTTTGAAACAATAGGGTTCTTTCAATTGAGTAGCCTGATCTAAAACCTAAATGTGATTGAGTTATAACGGAATGTTTATCGAAAAAATTCAACAGTCTAGTGTGAATAATTTTTTCAAGTCTTTTGGAAAAAAGCGGGAGAATTGAAATCGGCCTGTAATTTGTTAAAGTGTTTTTGTCTCCACCTTTGTGGATCACCGTCACCTTATCATCCTTCATATTCTGTGGGAAAATGCCGCTTTTTGAGGAAACGTTGTAAGTGTGTGTCAGACATGGACTAAGTAAGTCAATAACATGTTTTATCGCTTCCATTTTTAGGCCATTTTAGAAATCCTAAAACTTTTAAACACTCGTATTACCTCATTTTCATCTGTCGGACAAAAAAATATTGATTCCTTGAGTGGTGCTGGTAAGTACTCAAAAGCACTTGTTTGGTGCGAGCTTTTAGTTATAGGTGTGAAGTATTCATTAAATTTATCCGCTAACTCTTTGCCTTTAATAACCTCATTGTCAATTACAAGTTCTAAACAATTTGTAGCTCTACCTCGAGATATGATGGAGTTTAACTTATTCCAGATTTCTTTGCTGTCAGAGACGCCTTCAAACATATAATGATAATTTCGTTTTGCTTGCCGTTGGACTTTAGTAACTGAATTTCTGTATTTTTGTATTTTTATGTGTAGAAGAATACTCTGGCAAGGGGTTGAGCAAAGCCATTTCCCGCGTGTTTGCATAATGATAGGCAACACCATGTGAAAGCATAAGTGACACCATGTGACATTAACCACTGGCTCTGATGTAAGGTCATGGGCGACACTGTGACTTCAACCATTACCGCATTTAGGACCAGTGGTTGCCCCTATTAGGGCTTGTGGTTGAATAGCTGATTACGCAGTCTGAGGCACTTTATTCCTGAAGACGAAAATTCTGTGCATGTAGTATACGATAGCGCGCAACGCACACTATACAGGCGTCAACTCATATTTTGGGTCGAGCGGTATTGTTTCACTATACTGAACACCGTAAAATGCACTTGAGCGATGTCAAACGTTTCATTTTTGTTTGCTTATCTGGACGCAGGTATTCGAGCCAGAAGGGGAAGGCTGGACGTACAAGTACCCTCTGCAGAAGCGCTTAGGGTTAAAGAGGAGGGGCCCTAGAGAAACGACTTCCTCTACACCATCGTCGTCGACAAAATGAGCTTAGTAATCGCACCGAGATGCACTGAAAGGCTTCTCCATGAACTCCCAAATTGTCCTGCGGACTCTGGTGTGTGCGCAGGAAAACTCCCCGCCGTTTTCTTGTGGTCACTCGATACATCATGCAGTGCGACTTGCTCCAACCGTGCTTCTAGGGGCATACACGATTGGTGGTGGTGTGACATCTTGTTGAGAAGGAAAGGCTTAAAGGACCTGGTTAATCAGCGGCGGGACTAACAGCCTTCACGTCGAAATATGCGTCAACGGCTCAAGGACTGTGATAATAAATTAGGCTCCTCGGCAGCTTTATTGGTTGCTTTTAGAACAAAGGTTCCTGAAAGATAGGCTCTATACAATAGTCGACGCCATCGATTATTGCGAGCTTCTCGAGTGACAGTATACGTAAGTAATCGTAGGAATTGATTGCTTTGAAATCGCAATTCGGTCCCAGGAAACTTCCGCTGACGTTCCTTGCCCGTTTGTTGCGCCGGGCCCGGGCGAGAAGCCCATCTCTGGGTTGTTGCAGGGATACATGGATATCTGAAAACTCAGTATTTATTTTATCGCGTAAAGATTACCTCAGCATTTGCGTGCGAAATTGGGTTAGTAAAAGCGTTAAAAACGGTTTAGAATTCTCAAATTTATCGAAAGTTCAGTATCTGCGACTTCTCACAACATGCCTGTAAAGATTTTTTTCGTGGTGTTTGATTAAACAACGGCGCTGTAAGCGAGCAAACTTTGGCCGAGGAAACGCCCCCTGGTGCACGTGAAGCACAGGGGAAGAGGACGAAAGAGAGATCAAACTCTTTCTGAAACATTTCTTGCGCACTAAGGAAGTATATTTCTTTAAAAAAGAGTGATAGAGAGACGAAGATGTGACGCCTTCGACAGGAACTAGCAAGGCCACTGCGCCTGTTTACTTCCGTTTATTCATTGATGCTGCTGTGATCTGCTGCGTTGCGAAACGCCATTGTACCAGTTTGCAAGTATCTCTTGCTTCAGAACCGTTTCCTCTCTTTAGTTTGAAACATTCGTTTCGAAACATTCACTAGTCCTGTTAGTGTTAGGTTGAAGCGGACTCACGATGCCGCAGTACTGCGCGGTACATGACTGCTAGAGCACTTCAGGCCGCGATGAGGTCAGTTTTCATCAGTTTTCTCGAGATCAGAACATGGCTCTAAAATTGGTCACTACAGTTAAAAGAAAACGCTTTGAACCTATGAGAGCGAGTGTGCTGTGAAGCCAAGCACTTTCATGACAGCGGCTACGTAGGGATCCTGTCTCTGACGCAGGCAGCTGGGATTGATTAAGTTAGTGCGATTGAACAGTGACGCTGGTTCCTCCTTTTTTCCCGAATGAAGAGGGCCCTCGCCACCACCCCGGCTTGCCTCCTCGAAAAGAACAAAAAACAGTTTAATACGGCGTACGGCGAGATCTCGAAATCGGGTGCTCTGCACGACAATTAAATACTTATGACGCAGCTAATATGCCGCTTGCATTTTTTATATACCATCATGGTAGCACTGGCCAAAATTGTGAAATAGGCTACGGTATTGGGATGTCACACCGGTCCCGTTAATTAGGGAGGCGATCGCCGGGCTAATTCCAAGGGCCGAAGTGTCGGCCCCCGAACCGCACCACGAAAGCGTGGACAATTTAGAAGTGGTCCTTTTTGGCGCACCAGCGGACGCCGGCTGTGGCCCAAAGAACAAGTCAGAGCCGAGAGTTGATAACCAGAACAAAATTATATTCTCAAAATTGGCAGATCGAAAACAATACACAAGAATGCACACTCCACAATAGTTGAGTACAATGTGTCACCAAACAAACAACGTACTACACAGTACAATCAGCCACACTCGAAACAACGGACACAGACAACAATACGCACTACAATGCAGTCGCATGCATTGAACAACCAAGACACTTAAAGACTAAAGAGATAGAAAACCTATTCAGTGCAAAGTTCTTGGAACAAAAGTCTGAATGATACTCTTCCGAGAATCACTCACTCAAAATCCAGCGTTGTTGTCGTTCCGCAGCCCTCGAAGTTTCTCTTCCAGGAAACCTCGCCGAAGTTTCTCTTCCAGGAAACCTCACGTCTTCAATAGGCCACTTTCCAAGCTTCAAACTTCTTCGCCGAAACACGTCGGCTTCACACACGCAGCTGTTGCCACGCGTCTTCGCTCGATAGCGGTAAACACACGCTCTTGCCTGTAGCTCGAGCCTTCACCCCTCAGGTGGAAATCATCCTCTTCTCCTGCTTTGTCTCTACAGACAAAACCTTCGCCGACTACACGGCGGAATCCCTTCGCGCTCTGGCGCTAACTTCCGTCTTTTCCTGCTCTGTCACTACGGACAGAATCTTCGCCGACTACACGGCGGAATCCCTACGCGCTCTGGCGCTAACTTCCGTCTTCTCCTGATCTCTCGTCTCGGTTGCTCGGTTAAATACCTTCCGCGCGACATTCCAGAAGGTTCTCGTCATTTCGTCGGCGCGATACGCAGCGAAGGTTGGGGGGAGAGCGAGACGGTTGGAATGCCCTCCGCGGAGGATGACTCAACTCGGTATGACCACGCCCCTTTCCTTCTAGAAAAATCGAGTGCTTGCTCGGCCGCCGTTGTGGGGTGAGGAGGTTCGTCGGCGAAGCCACGCTTCCGCGGGGAGAGCGCGCGCCCGGGGAGCCTTGATTGTTTGTTTTCTTTTTTTTCTTTTGACCTCGCGGCGATTCTCCCGCCCGTTATCGCAAGAATTTGGCGGCGCGCCCATTTTTAGCGCTCGTTCTGTGACACTGCCCCCCACTTTAAGAATATTATCTCATAATATTCAAAACCACCCAAACGAGCGCGAACAATCACCACACACTCTGAAAGACTGTAACACAAACCATCGCTCACGACACTTCACATTCACAATAGATCGCTCAATACAATCGTACATTGTAGTTCAATTCCACAACACATGAAATATAGCCACAGGTACATGACTACAACACTTCATCACACATTCCAAACCATACAAACGGACAAAGTTCTGTCTTTATAACAATTATACAACACTATACATCACATCATCGCACAGAACACTTTGACTCGCTCGACATACACTTGTGACACAGGATAACAAGAACATTAACAAAACATATGTCACTCAGCCCTGCCAAACACATTCCGATTCCACCTCAGCACCTATCCTGTGTATTTCGAGCTGCGCTTGCGTCCTTTCTTGCGGTGCTCGCTCGATCTCTTCTTGTTTTTTCTTGTTCTTTTTCGGCGAGCCTTTTCCAACGACGGGGTCTGAGGCGGCGTCTCAGCCATCGTTGTCACTTCTGACACTGTTAACGGGTGATAACGCTCAACCGATCCTGTCACCCGCTTGTTCATGTCACGACATTTGGCCTGGCTGGCCAACTCCGTCTCCTTTACACTGTCGGTCGGTTGAGGTCGTGCCGACGTAAGTCCAGTTGCCCGGCCCGTGAACTCATTCAACACGATCATCTTCTCATCCGCTGTCTCTTGCGCCGCGGCTTCCCCTTGGGCTCTAGTGAGATCCGTCACGGGATGCTCCTCCACTGGATCTCGCGGTCGCTGGGTTGGCGAGGGCTCTATCTCAGGGTCTTCTCCCAAACATTTCGGATCATTCGGTCCTCGCGCCCCGTCGATGTTTCCGATGACAAGGTCGTAAAGGGGGGGTCGTCATACATAGAGCGGTAACTTTCCCGCTGAAGTACGGGGTTTCCACCTCAATCTTTGCTTCGGGAAGCATCCGAACCGTACGGTCAATTAAGCAAACCGGTTTCGGTCGGCCTGTCAACTCACTTTCCCGTACCAAATTTCTCCGCACGATAACCGTGGAGCTACCGGTGTCTCTTAGAACCGTAATCTTCTTGCCCGCAACCTTTCCAGGCAGCGTTGGCATTCCCTTCGTAACACCGGTTGGCTGTTTTGACATTACAGCACCCACAATAGGAATTTTCTCCCCATTTTTCAACTCTACGAATCCATCTGTGACGGCCTTATCATCGGATTTTGGTGCTGCTAGCACACAGGACACCTGGTGAGTTTGACTCGCTCCGTTTCGACATGCGTCTGCTTTGTGCCCAGTCTGACCACACTTAAAACATTTTACTACCGTAGGGCTCGTAAAGTTAGTACGACAGTTGCTCGCGCGATGACCCACTCGGTTACACAGAAAACATCGCGGAACACTCTCCGGTGCACGCTTCTTTTGTTCGGGTGCCGAATTTTTCGAATCTTCGGGACACTCCTTCTTGACTTTGGCCAAATTAGTGCCACCTTGCGCTTCCAAGAATTGATCAGCTAATTCAAGCATGTCTTCAAGTGACTTAGCTCTCCTCTCTTTCAAGTACAGCGACAGGCTTGGGTGGCAACTAGTAAGAAATTGTTCTCTAATTAGGAGCTCTCTAAGCTCATTGTACTCCTGTGCTGTTCCTGAAAGTTCAATCCATCTGTCGAAATATTGGCAAAGTCGGGCGGCATACTGCGTAGCCGTTTCACCATCAGCTGGCTTTCCGTTCCGAAATCGGTCCCGGAATCCTTCTACAGTAAATCTAAATCGCTTCAGCAAAGCAGCTTTCACCTTTGCATAGTTGGCTGCATCGGTCGGCGTCAGTCTACCGTACACACTGAGCGCTTCACCACTCAAGCAAGTACTCAAAGCAGTTGCCCATTGATGTTCCGGCCAATTCTGGCTCCTTGCAATCGTCCCGAATCTGTGAAGGTACGCGTCAAGGTCGTCCTTCCTTTCATCTAATGCTACGAGCAGCTTGCTTGGGTTCAAGCGGAATCCGTGGTCCTCCCGTTCGCTGCTTTCAACTCTAGCTTGGACCGGAGTTTCTCTTCGCTGTTGCAAACGGAGCCGCTCGAGTTCTATCTCGTGCTGTCGCTGCCGTTCCCTTTCCTCTCTTTCTTCTTTCGCCCTCTCAGCTGCCAGTCTTTCTTTCTCCAGCTCCAACTTCAATTGCTGCTCTCTTTCTTCTC